GAATACTAAGTCAACTGCAAAATAGTAAATCAGAATTACACAAAATTTTTATTGGCACTCGATAGAAAAGGCTGGCGACATACGGCCGCAAGATGAGGCTGGCATATCAAGAAAACTGCAGGAAACTGCAGGAAAACGATGGAACATCTCTTATGCACTTCTCCCACATTGGCAAGACTACGCTGTAAGCATCTTCGGTCCGCACAGTATGATACACTGAAGAAGGTATGGACAGTTAGGCCCCAGAGCCTATTACCCTATCACCCTAAACCACCCCTCTTAGACATAGCTAGTGAACTCCATTTGATATCGTGGCTTATTGGCCTWCCTGATAAACCTAACCTAAAATAACTTAAATCACAAACCTAACCTATGTAAACAAGAAATTTTTATTACACTTAATGTTAAGAACTGTATAGCAGTTGAGCTCAATCCTCGGAGCGAAATTTTTGTGAAAGTGTCACAACAACAAAATTAAGATTTACTGTATTTTACAACAAACACATTAAATTTTGCCACTCTCCATAAAACAGTGTCAAATATTTCGTAAAGCTTTGTCTACGCTCAATCGCTCATTTTAAGTGCCGCTTTTGTTTGCTACTGTAATTGCGAAAAACCATAAAAATTATTTTTATAGCATTTTTAATTACATAGACACAAATTGCGTACTTCCTGCAATTTCCTTGCGACAGTGAAGCCTGGATATGTGAGGCAAATTAAATTGAATTAATGGATCACGATTTTTCATTTTCAAATTTATATATTAAATCTTAGTGGAAAGGGTGTGTTAATGTTTTCAGGGACGTAGAGATAAAATTGGGACTCAGTAATGATTGTGGGGAATTTTTGGGAGAAAAAAATATAAAAAAAATGGTTGCGGAGCACCAGGCAGCCAAAGTTAAAACTTTTTTCTTGCGTTTAACTGTAAGTGATTAATATTATATGTTACTATATTCATGTAAATGAAACATATTTCTTCGGAAGCATGTAAATATGTCTTGGCATATATATGACAATTATATTTTGCGAAAACCGGTAGTGATCTACATTATTACTCTGTTTGATATATGCTGAGGTTGTTGAAATTTCACTGAAGTTTGCGATGAGTGAACTATGAAGACCACTTACGAAGGGAAATCATCCAACGAAGTACCACTGTTATATATTGGCCTTAATTTATGAGCACATTTACCTGTGTAACATACATACATATAAAATATATACATATATGTACATTAAGGTGGTTCATTTAAAACCTTTTTTATGTCTTCGCGGGCACATGAAAATTTTGTTTTTTAAGTGGAAAAAAAAATCCCGAAAATTTGAGCACTTAATTTTGACTTAGGTACTACTTTCAGATTTTCAAGTTTTCCAAAATTCATTAAAATCAAAAATTGATAAGAAATAATTTTTGAAAAAATTTAATAAAATAAAAAACTGATATAAAGTCGTTGATCCAAGTTTTAAATACAAAAATTTCATTAAAACCTTTTTTTTTAATTAAATCGCTTATATTACTGAAATAAATCACTTTTATGACATAACTGTGTAGAAATTTTTTGGCAGAAAGTTTATTTCTTACAGYTCTTTGGAATTTGTTCGATAAAATCAGTTGTTTACTCATTTTTCTTTTAATATGTGTAAAAAGCGAAAACGAATCGAAAAGGAAGTTAATATGGAGGGCAAAAATTTTCAGAAATTTTTTTTCTCCTATAATAAGCAAAATTTTCATGTGCTTGCGAAGAAAATAACAAAAAAATGTTTTAAATACAATACCCTAATGTATCGCACTTATAAATATCGAATATCTATAAACATAAGTAAGTCGTTTTGCCCGCCAGCAAAGCCATCAAACTGACCTTTCTCCGTTGCCAATTATATTTGCTATTGTACAAGCATTTTCTTGTATTGCAATTATTCAATTTTTATTGATTTGCCAATTGATCACTTGTACAACCTGTTTAGTTGATCTTCACAGCAACCTCTTTCAATTGAAATGCAGCCACACAAACAAATCACAAACAAATTGTTATCTACTACTTTTATTTGCTCGCTTGTTACTTTCCATCGCTTGAATTCCCCTTTTATGCAAATTACTATGGATTTCGCATGAAACGTTTTTAATTAAATATGCAAAACGTGTGGCTCGACACATTAGCCTGCTGTCATATAAAGCGACATACGGCGTCACCATTGCGGCAAATAAAAAAGAGCAAAACCAATGCGAAATAACAACTAAACGACGTCCGCTTGGTGGTCCAAGGTGCAAACAATATTGAGTCATTCAACTGTGGCACCTAACAATATACATATATGTATGTATGTATGAATATATGCAAATATAAATTCAGCAAACTGATAATTTCTCAAGAAAAAAACATAAAAATTTGAAAAACATATACATATACACTCAGATATAGCAAAACATTATAAATAATGTATACTTATTTTTTAGTACAATTTTGCATTAAAACCGCATTTTAGCATAAATATGCACAGTGTGTATAAGAAATACTCGCCTTAATGCCGTTGTCAACTGTCGCATTTAATATTTACTTTATAAGATTATACGAAAATTTTTTCCAACTTACTCATCGCTTTTGAAATAGAAAATAAGAAATAAAAAACACTCAAAAAATTGCTCACTTTTTTCCCAACTAATTTTAAATAACATATCAATTATCATTTATGTTAGCATTCATAACAATATTCTGCTACATATTAACATTTGTTAACATCCATAACAGTATTCTGCTATGTTAGCACATATATGCGCTCACGTTTTTTAAATAAAGAATAGTGCAGCATTCCGAGTTTTGAAATATTCGCTGAAGTAACACAACAGAGAGCGAATACAGTAGTGCGCGAGCAGGTGCACGAATGAGAGTATAAACGAACGAGCGCTGCAAATAAGGTCAGTAGGAAAAGGCAGTGTGGTCAGTGACCTTTTTGGTTTTTAAATTTTTGTTTTGCTTAAAATAAAATTGGTATACTGAATTCTTGTATAGCACTTCTCAATAACACAAAAATAAAATATTTGCATTAAATTTATTAGAGAGAAATATACTTAGATTTAAGAATTTCAAACTTGATTATACACAGTGATTAACTAGCTCGTACTATTAAAACAACTTAAAGACGTTAGAGGTTAGGTTAAGTTAAAAAATCGATCTTAAAAGGGATCTCATTTGAACAGCTTAGAACGCCGCTCGGTTGAAATATATAAAACTCCTATATATTAGATAGTAAGACCCTTACAAATCGCCTTGAGCCTATCACATTCATATGCCTAATGTAAGCTGCGCCTATGTCCTCTGATGCGTAGAAAGCAATACTACTCTCACAAAGCCATTAGCAATATCGCAGGATAATTCAAGTACCGGTACTTTTGTCAATAGCCTTTTTTTGACAGTTCACGCGTGAGTTGTTTCAAGCTGTCATGTTATTTTTGTTCAGTATTGTTTGGTATTTCATCATGGAAGTCTTACCATACCCAAACAACGTTTGCAAATCATTCAACTTTATTACGAAAACTCACGATCTGTAAAAACTGTGTTCCACGCGCTTCGCTCAAATTATGGTCAACAAAATCGGCCTACTGAGCGCACTATACGCTACACCACCACCTATCCCGGGACCCAACATCCATTATTGGATAACATTCGACCGAATAGGAGACGTCCAGCACCCAGTGAAGGATATAAGGCATCCGTAGCTTAGAGTGTACAGGAATACCGTGGAGAGTTGATTCGGTGCCATTCGCCGCAACTCGGACTAACGTGTGGAACAACTTGGTGAATTTTACGTCGAGATCTTAAATTGAAAGCGTAAAAAATACCAACTTGTGGAAGAACTGAAACCGTTCAATCTTTCCAAGCTAGATCGCTTCGCTCTATGAGCTCTTGAACAGTTCTAAGAAGATCTGACGATCTATGGACTCTTGTAAAGTTCAAAGAAGATCCGACGTTTTCGAGCCAAATTTTGTTCCACGAAAAAAAAAGATAATTTCCACATTTTGGACGAAGAGCAACCTGAATAGATGCAAGAAGTGATATTTCCCCAGAAAAAAAAACAACGGTTTGGTATGGTTTGTGGGTCCGATGATTCTACTGACCCACAAAACACACCAAACCGTTATTTTTTTCATATCCAAAAATGATGCCGGTGAGAACGTAACCGTCAATGGTAACCTTTATCGTGTCATGATAACCGGCTATTTGATCTCTGAAATAGAAGCTCGTGTTCTCGGCGACATTTGGTTTCAGCAAGACGGCGCCACTACCCACACATCGCGTCAATCAATGGACGTATTGAGAGTACATTATGGTGAACAGATAATTACAGGTTCCGGTTCGATTTTAAGGTCACCAAGATCTTGTGATATTTTTTCTATGTGTATGTGTAAAGCATAAAGTCTATACAGACAATCTCGCTTCGATTCAAGCCTTTGAACCTCTTGGACATCAAGAGTGTCATTCGCCAGTTACCGGTCGAAATGCTCTAACGAGTCATCGAAAATTGGACTCAACGGATGGACCATCTGAAACGTAGTTACGGCCAACATTTGAAAGAATAATCTTCAAAAAATATATGACAAAGAATGTTCTTTCGAATGATAATAAGCATTTACACAGTCAGCGGCCTCAACCATATCAAGCAAAGAACAAAAATGAAAGATAAACTTTGAAATATTTCATGAAGAACAGAGAATGCAAAGAAATCTCTTCAAACACTGAAAGATAACGGCTTCCAAGGCTATTTCTCATGATAGCAAATTCTTAAGACGCTTTGCGGAAGTAAATGAGCATACAGATAAATTGCTAAGTAGATAAGAACTACTTACGAGTATAAAGTAGTCTATATTGTTTTAAATAAATACGAATGTGCATAACAATTATATTTTTAAAGCCCGAAATCTACCTGAATCTTTTTCAAATATTTTATATAAGTGTGAGTAAGATTATCTGAGTATATCTAGATTGAATTTCAAGAACGCTTACCCATACATCGCATCGACCAGATCGCGTTCCCACGTCATTAGTCGCTTCATTTTGGCGGCTACTGTCTCTGAGCGCGTTAACGTCGCCGTTGTGGCAATTTTGTTGCCGGCAAGGGGCACTGTGAATTGTACCGTGATGGCGGGGAAGATTCGACGGTTTACGAAAAGTACACACTAATATGTACTTTTATTTAACGGTTGTTATGTTGTTGTTGTGTGGATAGTATAAAAACAACTAACTGTTGAGACAACAAAGACGAAGTGCCCGTTCGCGCAGTTATAGTTGAATATATAATTTTGGCAGTACCGTAAAGTCACTTTGTTGTTTATGTTCTATGTTGCGCTTTAATTAGCCACTTTAATCAGCCAATTGCGCTTAAGTTTCCGTAATTTTTGTAAAAAAAAAACTTGTTTGTTGTGCGTTTTGCAGTCTTTACAGCGTCTCCAAATCCACTTAGAGTACAAGGTGTTGAAGCTGTAATATTTTTACAGCTTTTGTTGTTGAATTTTTGGATGTTGTTGTATTTTACTGTTGATTTTGTATTTTTAAATGTTGTTGTATTTTATCTATTTTGTTGTAGTAAGTAAAAACTTTTGTTGTTGTATTTTATTTATGTTGTTGTAGTTTTTACAAAATTTTTAGTTGTTGTTTTTCCGATGTTTTGTATAAACTTAGTGCAAAAACTTTTTTTGATATTACGTTTTCAATGCAAAATTTTGTTGGTATTTACTTTTTAGTTGCCACTTCAGACCCTTGTTGCAGCCATACCTCGTATKTCATATGCTACTTGGCTTTGTGCTAAATTTGCAGCTTGTTCTAGTTCTCATTTTGTTTGTTCAGTGTTTTTGTTTTGTTTGTAAACTTGCAGCTGCCTTGGCACTGACACGCGTAGGTTTAGCTCTGTATATATGTATATTATATATGTATGTGTGTATGAATTATTTTTTGGCTGCAATTGCTAAGGATTTCATAAGGTTTGTTGAGGTTAATAAAAGGTGTGGTTCAATCAATTGCGCAATTTTATTTCAAATTTCAAGTGGTGATTTGCTAATATATATGTATGTAGATTTATATGTGTTGGTAGTTGCATGACTCATACGAAAAGAAGCTTGGTAATTGTTGTTGTTATTCCCTGAAGAATGTACATATGTGACCTGATCTACGAAAAGGGAGTTTTCTGGGAAACAACTGTTAAAAATCTCATTTTCCATCCGAATCAACTAAAAAGTGAAAATTGATTTTTTGGATTTTTTGACACCTAAGCCCCCTTTCCGTAGACCAGGTCACGTATATTAAGTTTGCCACGAAGTTCTTAATGCACAGTAGGAAACGTCGGAGGCTCTAAAATATTTATGTATACGATTATATTTATATAAAAGATCGCCATAATGAGCTGAGTCGATTTAGCCATGGTCGTTTGTTTGTATAAACGCGAACTAGTCTAAATTCTTAAGATATCGAACTGAAATTTTGCACACACGCTTTTCTCTCCAAAAAAATGCACATTTGTTAGTAACGCCAAAATCGGACGACTATAGCATATAGCTGCCATACAAACTGGACGATCGAAATCAAGTGTTTGTAAGGAAAGTTTTTTCATTTGAAGAGATATCTTCTAGAAATTTCGCTGGGATTATTGTCTGCAACAATTACGTAGTTTGCGAAGAAATTGTTCAGATCGGTTCACTATAGCATATAGCTGTCATACAAAGTTAACGACCTGAAAGTAGTGCCCGTATGGAAAACTTTTTCGTTTGTCGAGATATCTTCAGGAAATTTAAGAAGAATTATTGCCTAAACAAATAATTTAATATCCGAAGAAATTCTACAAATATAAATATTAATCAAACTCAAGTCCTTGTACGGAAAACTTGTTTAATTTACGAGATATCTTCATGAAATTTCGCACTCATTATTTTTTGGGACAACTACGGAATTTGTGAAGAAATTGTTCATATCGGACCACTATGGCATATAGCTGCCGTGCAAACTGATCGATCAAACTCTAGTCCTTGTATGGAAAACTTTTTTATTTGACACTAAAGCATATAGCTGGCATACAAACTGAACAATCAAAGATAAATATCTTCTTATATGGCAATGTGTTTCAAAAGCGCAACTTTGCAAGGCATTATAACTTCGGTGTAGCTGAAGTCAAATTTTTTTCTTGTTTTTGTTAGGCAGTCGCTTTAGGTGAGATTTTAATTTTCTCTACAATCACTGGATTTGTACAATAACAGTTTGTGGTATTACCATAAATTACTACACATGTATATAGACTAATTAATTGAAGTTTTGTAGGTTTTGTTGTTGTAAAGTTTTACAAACAACACCGTAATTATATAATTTAACGTTGTTTTGCTATTGGTAATTTTCAGTTATTTTAAAAAAGCTGTTTTTAGCTTTTGTTAGTATCGCTGGTTGTATATTTTCTTTTTTTTCTTATTAATTTTTTTTTTTTACCTCACTTTTCTTTGAATTCTCTATATACATATAGACACACGTATATAAGACTTAATTTTCATAAATTGTCAACAACTTGATAATATTGCAYAAACAATTATTTTAAAAATTATTTGCACGCACTTTAAAACAGCCTTGCACTTTTCATCTGCCAGTTGATACACTTGCGTGCAACACACTTTTCCTTTCACCTGATAAATTTACAAATAACTTTTGGCAATCACTATCACTAACCGCATAGCAATTAACAATTTTTGAGATACAAATTTTTCGACACGAAAATACAAAAATATAAATCTGTTTCGTGTCAAGAGGAAAAAGCGCGATCTTCGACGACAAACGAATGCGTACTAGTACAAGTGCCACAACAAATGTGCGAGCGCGTTTTATTCAAAAAAAAATCACTTCAACTTAATACAAGCAACAATAACAATAAAAAAAAACGAACGACACCGGTACTGATTTTTTTCACAAATTCATGCCATTCAAACTCACTACACAACGATATTTATACAAGTATGCTGAAATACATACTATATACGTAAGTATGCATGTATGTATGTATGTATGCGCATTGAATATATTTTGCTCCAACTGAGCGGCGAGCAACGAGTGACGAATCGTTGCTGTAGTTGTTGGTCAACATTAAGGGAGAAATAATTTCGCATGATTTTTTATTCACTTTGGTACTTTGTGTTAGAGGACAGTACGCTTGCTCATGCCGTACGCCAATCGCGACAAATCGCAACTTCTGCTGTCAAACAAATAAACGAGCGCGCAAATTGGTACAACAAAAACAGCAGCAACAACAACAACTTTCTTACGCGCTCACCGCGATTTTACCGAATGCGGCATAAGTTTAGTATCGCCCGTTGGTTTGGTGGAGCAGTTTGTCGCGCGAGAGTGGGCTGCGGCAGCCGGTGCTAAAAAGCACGAGTACTCTGCTTTGGCGATTTGCTCACAATACTGCAGAGATTTTTTGTTGCTAGCTGCTTTTGTTGTGCACATTTGGAGCCGTTTGCGGCTGTTATTGTTTTTGCTGTTGCGCTATCGTTGGTTGYTTGGTTGTTGGGGGGCTTTTATAGTGTGCCACTCGCATRCTCAGCGCTCTCAACGCGCTCGCGCCGCTTATTATCGCACTCTGTCCGCATTTCGCAGCAACATTTTGCTCACAGCGATCGTGTTGTTTTGATTGTATTGTTATTGTTTTGCTGTACTGCAGTAGTGCTGTTTATTTGTTTAGTATAATTTTATCAGGATTGTGTGCTTTTACACTTAACTTAGCTTCGATTGATTTTATTTACTTTTTTCTTTGCATTTCGACTTCGTGAAATCTTTGTTTGGTTTTGCTATTTTGCACCTTCGGATTTAATAATAAAGCACCGATAATGTTGCTTCTTCTAATTTGCCAGCTTTAATGTAAAGCTTCTCCTTCTTATTGGGTCATGTGTCTGGCTGTTATCAGTCAATTGGCTGACAGTTGTCAGCATCCATTGAACAGTTTTTTGATTCTTTTGAGAATTTTTTTTACACAAATTTTTTCTAAACTTTTTTATGTTTCGTGGTGTTCAACATTTTATTTTGCACTCTTGTTGACTTTTTGACAGCTCATGATCAACAGTCGTGGTATTTTACTTACGGTACAACTCATTACAAGGTATAAGAAAGAAAGCTCTCCTCTCGTTTGAAGTAAAAAATAAACAAAAACACAAGAAAAAACGTTAATTTGGTTGGACGGAAGAACGAGGGCTTCATTTTGATCGTTCAGTTTATATGGCAGCYATATGTTATAGTGGTCCGATCTGAACTATTTCTTTTGGATATTCCACTATTGAATGAGACATTGAACTGCGTCAAATTTCGAAAAGATATCTCGTGAAATAGTAAAGTTTTGCGTACAAAGATTTTATTACAAACAGTTGGCAGTTGACAGCTATTTGCTATAGTGGTCCGATAAAGGCGGTTCCGACAAAATGATTTTGTTCGCGTATAGACAGACAGGCAGACAGTCGGACGGACAGAGAGACAGACCGGCATGACTAATCAACGATCTAAGGGTGCTTCGCCTAAGTCCTAACTGTTCAAGATGCTCCAGCTGTCTACAAATGTTATTTCCTACAGGCCATGCACTTACAGGCACTAACCTTCAGTGTTGCAAATACCTCAATGTAAGTTGTTTTTTGTTGCAAACTAAATGTCTCGCCTTGAATTTGTGTGTAGTGATGCTACTGCTGGTATACAGACGCAGGCCCAAGTATCAGGCGTGCCTACATACATACATAAGTATTTATACATATATATACATATATACTATGTAAAATGTATACGGTATGTTAGCCAGCACAGCTTAATACAAAACTCATAAACACTTGTAAAGATAATTATGGGTATTTTTGAGTTTTGCAAAATAACAAAAACTAGCTCTCTTGCGCTCTCATTGCACAGGTGCCACTCTATGCATACTA